GATGTGGTATAGACCCTCCATAGAGCCTCTCCCTGTCCCCCTCTATTTCAAATTCTTTGAAATACCCACACCCACTACATTCAAACACAACCGTTCTGGTATTAGACTATGTGTCCCACGCTTCAGGTAATCATTTGTTCCTGATGCCATTCACAAAAACAACTCAATTATTAAACGTGTGTAATACCTTGCTTGCTGACTTATGATAATAATTAAGTATATATGTATAGGTAATTTATTTTTATGTTTATTTAAATAACAAACAACACATACAATAAAATATATCAAATGACAAAAATCAGAAAGTACATCAGTGAATGACAATCAATGAAGGCTTTGAGCTTATTGGACAGTGCTTGTTGAAGCAACAACATATTCACAGCTCCAGTGCAGCTAGTTCAATCATGATATGAAAAACATAAATGTTTAGATAAACTTGAGAAAGAACTTTGGTGCATGTTAGTGAGACAGCTACTAAGGTTTGGTCTTGAGCACGAGACCATGTGAGAAGCCTCTAATGAGAGGTCTTGAGCACGAGACCATGAAAGAGGCCTCCAATGAGAGGTCTTGAGCGCGTGACCATGTGAGGCCTCCAATGAGAGGCCTGCAATGACAGAGCCTTCCAATGTATAAGACTTGGTAGGTCTGCTCCTTTTAGTTCTGAGTAGTGGCACGATCCTGAGTTTAAGTCAACATGGCATTACTGCCAACAAACTGAGTTGAAGTCGCAAGAGCAGAATAAGCTTTAGGTTTACAAAGATTCTAAACATAAAAACATGACAATAAACAATACATTACTAATAAAAACAATTCTTATTATTACTATTTAGTTTGATTATAAAAAATACTACTACTGTATAATTCATATATAGAACCTTCTGCAAAATAAGTCTCAGTGTGTTTTACAACCATAAAAAAGAACGATTTAGCAACACAAATTTATAGCACTACTAAAAAAGAGTATGTTATGTGTTGGGTGCATGTTAATATGGTACTAAAAACAAACATCAATAAGAAAAGTCTTAAAGATATCATTGTCATGTACAGTAGATTTAATGCTCAGTATCTTAAAAAGAAAAAGCTGATGTTATTATAATGTCAATTAACAGTTTTAGATAGCATGAACTGTTTTTTACCTTTAATTTACAATACTTAGTCTATACAACTTGGCTTGTAACTGCTTGAATCTTGCAAGCATAGCTTGAACTTCCTGCCTCAGAACAGCAGTTGCTTCCAATTCAACCTTGTAACTTGCGATGCGGTCGAGGCATGTAGTAATAAATGAACGTCTACAAGAAGAATATATTTATATATTCACAGATGTTTAAATCAGATGGACACAATATAATTAGGCAAAACAACTGTGAAAGGCCTATAATGTATATTGATTGTTAAGTGTTTCATAAGTATATCACATATATAAATAAGTTCTTTTCAATCCTCTATTCAAGCAGATGAATACTTTAAAACACTAGTCTTCCATTGCTTCTCCCTCTCAGATTGAACCATACTACAGGTAGAATCAACTCGTTTGGCTGTTTTCAATGGGTGAATATTTTATTTATTACATTCAAGAAAGTACTACGCTAGATCAGTATACTACTATGCAAGAATAGTATAGTACCTCTATGCCAGACCACTATAGTACCGCTATGCTAAAATAGTATAGTACCACTATGCTAGACTAGTATAGTACCACTATGCTAGACCAATATCGTACTACTATGCCAGAATAGTATACAGTAGTACCACTATGCCAGACCACTATAGTACCACTATGCTAAAAAAATACAGCACCACTATGCTAGACTCGTATAGTACCACTATGCTAGACCAGTATGGTACTACTATGCCAGAATAGTATAGTGCCACTATGCTAGATTAGTATATTACCACTATGCTAGACTAGTATAGTACCACTATGCTAGACTAATATAGCACCACTATGCTGAACTAGTATAGTACCACTATGCTGGACTAGTATGGTACAACTATGCCAAACTAATATAGTACCACTATTCCAGAATAATATAGTACAGTACCAATATGCCAGACCACTATAGTACCACTATTAAAATGCTTGCACTGTTAACACCTTTAAGTCTAGGTTAAATACATTTTTTCTTAGCTCTTAGAGCTATACTAGTATGGTACCACAATGCCAGACTAATATAGTACCACTATACTAGAATAGTATAGTACCACTATGCTGAACTAGTATAGTACCACCATGCTAGACTAGTATAGCACCTAGAATGCTAGACTAGTATAGTGCAATAATTAACCAGCACTACTACTGTCTCTTATACACATCTAGATGTGTATAAGAGACAGCCACTATGCTAATTGATTTTGAAATCAATAACCCACCTTAAAGGACTATCTATCGTTTTCTTCTGTCTCTTATACACATCTAGATGTGTATAAGAGACAGGTATCAATCTAATTGCTTATTTAATTTAGTACTGAGTTTTCCTACTTTCAAGTATTCAAACTGTATTATATTTTGTTATCATTTTGTTTAGTTAAGTGTTATTACTATGTATGTTGTCTATATATAGTTAATAGAACGCACCGTCATATGACATGTTGCCGCTGATCAAAAAGCGTTGTTCAATAAAGAATAAAGAATATATATAAAGTGTGTAGGCCAAAACTATCATAACTATTTTTATTATTAATAGTTTTATAATTACTATACTAATATTATTATTATTATCACTATTAGTAAATTGTCTTATGCTTTTTTCACTTTGTTGTACCCAGCCATGAAATGTTCCCATAATAAAAATTATAATTTAAGTAATTGCAAAATGAAGACAGACTTTGGTGGCTTTGTGTAAGGCCAAAGGAAAAAATATGTTTGCTTGCTCTCCTCAACCTGCCCCTAACTCACTGGAAAAAATAGGGGTGGAAAAACAAAAAAAAACCAACTTTTTTTTTAGCTTTTTCTTTACAATTAAAAAGAAAATGTGAGTGAATTTATTTTTATTTTTTGCCAGATGTCCTACAATCTCAGAATTGCTAATTGGACATTGCTGGTAACTTCAGCACTTTCTTAAATGTGTTTTGCTGCTTGTGTGCAACATGTTGCTTGTTGCTCAAGTTTATTATAGTTTATTTCATATATAGTTGAGGAAGTTTTATTTATTTGGTTTAAGTTTGCTAATACCTATCTAGAGCTGATTTGAAAGTTGATTTTTCATTAGCATGGATGACCTCTGTGGGATTTTCATCTGATGAGTATCTTAAAAATAATAAATAAATTTAAAAAAAATTTCCACTACCCCTATATCATAATTATTTTAAAAAATGGGCGGGCAAACAAACAATTGATTTTTTTTTTTGCCTAATTGATCCACACTCTATGCTTTTATAATATATATTTTTTTTTTGTTTAGTGCACTGCATGCCATGCTGTACATAAATAAATGGGATAGGCCTAGGCTAGGTACCCTCTATACCTATGGGGCCCTACTACTGTACTACTGGCCAGGCTGCAGCTGAGCTGGTTACACAACAAATACTCTACTAGGTAGGGCCTACTTTAGTTAGTTAGGCCTAGCGAGTTAAAATAAACATACCTATCAACAAGCCTCTTTTAGCAATACCATAAAGCCTCTGACAGAAACCCTAAATAGTTCCTTATTTGACGTTTAGGGTGGGTTACAATTAGGCCGGCCTAGGCCCTAGAGTACGTGCGAGGACACCGCCGGTATGACGGGCCTCGTATCGGCCTGTGAATTTTCTGTTTATCACTCGGTGACGCTACGAAAAGTTTGACGACGTTTTGTGTGTTTTTCTGAATGAATAGAACGGAATACTCGGCAAATAATTATTATAGCAACTTTTGGTAAACTTTATAGTTGCCTAAAAATAATATTTCGACAGTTTAATGGTTCCATATATCCCGAAAAATGCGTTTTTGTTTCGTGTAACTCCTAGGCTAATTCTATGTACTATTGCACTTTCAGCGTCCATCGCGCAACAGGGGCAGACTGCGGCAGCGTCCGCGTAATAAAGATTAAATATTTGGCCTAGTGTGCTCGCACTTGCAAAATCTTTGGCGGCAGCCTTTGAATGAGATAAGACGAAAATTTTCGTCTTAAGGCAGGTGTGTTTTCATCTTAAAGTTAAGACGAATTTAAGCAAATTTTAAGCAATTTCTAAGCTAAGCAATATTGATAAATCTGACATAAGCAAGAAAATGGATTCAAGACGAATTTAAGCAAATTTTCTTGCTTAGCAAGTTTGATAAATCCGCCCCCAGATGATGAGAGAACTGCCAGCTGTGAGGGTAACTCCAGATAAACCGCCATTTACATACGTAGGCATTGACTATTTCGGTCCACTTTATGTGAAACAAGGGCATAGCAAGGTTAAGCTCTATGGTTGCATTTTTACCTGTTTAACACTGAGAGCTGTACATATTGAACTAGCTAACTCGTTGGACACAAATTCATTTTTAAATGCTCTGAGAAGGTTTATCGCCAGAAGGGGAAAACCCGAGAAAATATATAGCGATATAATAAACTTCCATGGTGCGGATAGAGAACCTAGAGAGAATCTTAAAATCCTGAAGCAGCGGAAAATAGAGAACTTTCTCCACGAAAGGGAGATCGAGTGGGTTTTGAACCCTTCCACAGCGAGTCACATGGGCGGTGCTTGGGAGCGGTTGATAAGGTCGACACGCAAGATTCTGAAGGTCCTCCTTGGTGAACAAGTCGTGCGTGAAGAAGTTCTAGCAACCGTAATGACAGAGGTGGAAGGAATACTTAATGCAAGGCCATTAACAGAAATTAGCCTTGATGCAAGAGACTGTGAACCACTTACCCCAAACCACTTAATTCTAATAAAACAGGGTCCTAACTTACCACCAGGTGTTTTTGATAAGAAGGACAGTTATGGTAAAAGGCGATGGCAGCAGGTGCAATATCTTGCCTCTATATTCTGGAAGAGATGGCGTAGGGAGTACCTTCATCTACTCCAAACTAGACAAAGGTGGACAACACCAAAACGAAACATAAAGGTTAATGACTTAGTCTTAGTCGTGGATGATAGCGCACCACGTGGCCAGTGGCCATTAGGGAGGGTCGTAAAGGTTTTCCCAGGTAAAGATGGTATGGCGCTTCAAGTAGAAGTGAGGTTGGGCTCTAAGGTTCTGATGAGGCCAGTGGCCAAACTATGTTTGTTAGAAAGGGCAAATACCGATTAAACATGCATGGCATGTATCGTTTACTAATGTTATTATGCAACATCAGTTATTATGTATTGCTTGTTAAAGTTTATGTTAATTTGTTAATTACTACAGATATTTATATATAGTTCATTGTGTTAAAATGAAAGAAACATTGTAATTGTAAATGCACATAGTTATTTATATATATATACTAGCACTGAGATACCGTACTGATAAATGAGCCGCTTTTGATTAATTTTAAATGACCATACCGAGTAAGTTCAGTGGGGCCGGAATGTAGCGGCTATTTATAATTTTTTTAAGAGGACGCCCTCCTGTTTTGAGTAAAGTTTATTTGTGAGCGTCACTTGAGGCTTCGATAGGTGCTGTCTCGGTTAATTAATGCAAAGTATGGCACGCCAGGACGGACATAACTATATCAAACACACATCCCTACCAGTTGAGTTTACACGCATCAATACTTGAGTTTTATTACACACATCGCTATCGGTCGAGTTTACACACATCGCTAGTAGTCGGGGTCCTTTACACACATCGCTACTAGTCGAGATTAAACATATCACTACCAGTCGAGTTTGTACACACATCGCTAATAGTCGAGTTTGCACACATCGCTACCAGTCGAGTTTGTACACACATCGCTAATAGTCGAGTTTACACACATCGCTACTAGTCGAGTTTCTTGAATTTGAAGTGCAAATTAACCCAATGACCCTTAGGGGTCATTTCGACCTTAGAATCGAATGCTCGCATTAATTAAGATATACTATCTCAGAAATAACCCATCGCGACAGGATAGACGAGTACGGCGGTGAGGTGATATTCCATAATAATATGATGAATTGAAAGAGGTAACATGCGGAGGAGGATGATCTGTCTCTTATACACATCTAGATGTGTATAAGAGACAGATATATATGTCTGTACCGCTTTAAAACAGTGGAAGAAAATCATCATTTTATCATGTACTCTTTTTTTGTACTCTTGTGAAAATGATGAAAATAATGGATGACCCCTAAGGGTCATTGGGTTAATTTGCACTTCAAATTCAAAAAAACTCGACTAGTAGCGATGATTTTAAACTCGACTATTAGCGATGTGTGTACAAACTCGACTGGTAGCGATGTGTGCAAACTCGACTACTAGCGATGTGTGTACAAACTCGACTGGTAGCGATGTGTGCAAACTCGTCTGGTAGCGATATGTGTAATCTCGACTAGTAGCGATGTATGTAAATGACCTCGACTACTAGCGATGTGTGTAAACTCGACCGATAGCGATGTATGTAATAAAACTCAACAAGTATTGATGTGTGTAAACTCAACTGGTAGGGATGTGTGTTTGATGTCCGTCCTGGCGGGTTCGGGTTGAACAACAGTTGGTAAGAGATATCAAGACATGTTTACCGTACAATTCTATAACTTATAATTTTAGGCATTACATGCAGGCCCGTAGACTTGCCACAAGTCTCTAATACCCCATTCAGACTAGCATCGCATTGCGATCGGTTGTAGCAATTGCGACACCCAATCGCACCCAATCACAAAGTAAAATCGTGTCTGAAAGCTCACCAATAGTAGTCGATATGTAATCGATATCGCAATTATTACCCGTTGCGATTGGGTGCTACAATCTTTATTACTCCCGATTACCACGGAATCTGATCGCAACGAATCAAAACAAATTTCACAGGCACTTCTTGGCTGAGGTCAGGCAACATAGGCCTAGACACAGGAGGCCTAGGCCCTAGAATGTAAAGTTTGTTTGTGTTGGTCTGAATGCGTTCGTTGATTGCGATCGGGAGTAATCAGTTTTGGATTACCACCGATTACATCGCAACCGATCGCAAGAGAGTATAGTCTGAATAGGGTATAATTTATGGATTTTTCGTAGTACATTAGCGCATTTCGGAAAGCGCCACCAGCGTCAGTTTATGTTGAGAAACTTGTTTGATGAGAATTAGAGACTTGTAAAAGAGTGAGTCAAATCGAATGCAGACCGCTGGCCGTGACAAGCATGACGTAATTTTTAGGATGCCG